TATCAACACTTACTGTGTTTTCCCAAATACTGTATAAGACAGAGTCTTATATTAATTTTTGCTCCAAAAGATGCATTAGGGCTTATTTTCAGGATATGTTTTTTTCATGTACTGTACAACCATTTACATTTATTCAAATACAGTGGTGCCTCGCTTAGCGATGTTAATCAGTGCAGCAAAAATCGCTGCTAACCGAAAACGTCGCTAAACAGTTTTTAAAAGCCCATAGGAATGCATTGAAACCCCTTCAATGTGTTCCTATGGGCAAAAAACTTACCTTTAAGCGAAAATCTTCCATATGGCGGCTATTTTCGCTGCACGGTATGCGAGGAATCCATCCCAAAACACAGCGGGTGGCCATGTTTTTTACCCAGCGGCCATTTTGGAACCGCTGATCAGCTTTTGGGAAAACATCGCTATGCGAAAATCGGTAAGCAAAACAGCTTACTGATCATTGCAAAGCGATTTTTTCCCGTTTAAAACATTGCATTGTGATCGCTTCTAACTGTTGCTTCCTGTCCCACATATAGGTTTCTCGTGATCAGGCACTCCCATTTCTTTAAGGACTTGCCATAGTTTGCTGTGGTCCACACAGTCAAAGGCTTTTGCATAGTCAATGAAGCAGAAGTAGATGTTTTTCTGGAACTCTCTGGCTTTCTCTATAATCCAGCGCATGTTAGCAATTTGGTCTCGAGTTCCTCTGCCTCTTCGGAATCCAGCTTGTACTTCTGGGAGTTCTCGGTTCACATACTGCTGAAGCCTACCTTGTAGGATTTTGAGCATAACCTTGCTAGCGTGTGAAATGAGTGCAATTGTACGGTAGTTGGAGCATTCTTTGGCACTGCCTTTCTTTGGGATTGGGATGTAGACTGATCTTTTTCCAATCCTCTGGCCACTGTTGAGTTTTCCAAACTTGCTGGCATATTGAATGTAGCACCTTAACAGCATCATCCACTGCTGCAAATTTTAAACAGTAGTTCTGTTGGTAGAAGTTAGTACCAAAGAAACCAACGCTATCATGTAGATTCCTTTCTTATAACCACTATCCTTCTGTTATACAATGTGTTAAAGTGTTTTTTTTCCTAATTAAGTCTTATGAATGAAAAGAAGTTGGTTTTGAAAATTGGGCAGAAAATTAAATGTGTGAATCTTCTTACGTTGACTGGCACTGTAATGTGTGAATGTTCCTATTTTAACTGGCACTGAAGAGTTACCACAACCTTTAATTTAGATGTTTATTTTTTCCCTTGCAAGGTGATACTAGCATGTCCCAGATGCTTCCTTTTCCTATAGCTGAATTGAAGACACTTCTGCTGCACCTGTTAGGCCTGTATTGTACGTATTCAATAAGTAGATCTCATGGCCTAGTTTGATATTTTATCAGTAGTCTCGACTACAGCACTTACTGCTTGATTGCTTGGGGCAGTTATTGCTTATAAATACCCTTGATTGTGGTGCTCAGACTAGTTAAGGACCACTTTTTACATTCATAGATTGCAGTTTGATTGCACTTGTTTCTCATTAGCTTGGTTTTCCATCCCAGTAGATTGCAGGCATTCTTCTGAGTTGGATAACCTTATGACCATGATTTCCTAGTGTCATGCAACATCTTTTTCATGTTTCTTTGTAATGTGTAAACTTACATATCCTGCCCTGGTAAAGATGTTGAACTTCTCCCAATGTGTTGTTTGAAGGTTTGAGTCTTTACACAGATGTTTTTCACTATGAGACACAGTTAAAAATATAAAGGAAGAGAGTAGCGTATTCTTAGATTTTTTTTTGTTCTCGTAACTGCACAGCATTTCAGAATTTTTGAAGTCTCCCCAGTATTAACTACTATTATTAAATTTCAGTATACTGCAAACAGTTTTTATTATTGTGAAATTTAGAACCTCAAGTAGTGCTCAGAAACTAAACTAAGAAAACTGCATTTTGCTCAGAATGATTTCTGAGTTACACCAGTTTTTCTTCTAGTCACAAATTGATTTTGTTGTTTAGTCGTTAAGTCGTGTCCGACTCTTCGTGACCCCATGGACCAGAGCACGCCAGGCCCTCCTGTCTTCCAGTGCCTCCTGGAGGTGGGTCAAATTCATGTTGGTAGCTTCAATGACAGTGTCCATCCATCTCATCCTCTGTTGTCCCCTTCTCCTCTTGCCTTCACTCGCTCCCAACATCAGTGTCTTTTCCAGGGAGTCTTCTCTTCTCATGAGATGGCCAAAGTATTGGAGCCTCAGGTTCAAGATCTGTCCTTCCAGTGAGCACTCAAGGTTGATTTCCTTCAAAATGGATAGGTTTGTTCTCTTTGCAGTCCAGGGGACTCTTAAGAGCCTCCTCCAGCACCACAAGAAGCATCAATTCTGTGGCGGTCAGCCTTCTTTATGGTCCAGCTCTCACTTCCATACATTGCTATGGGAAAAACCATAGCTTTGACTATGTGGACTTTTGTCGGCAAGGTGATGTCTCTGCTTTTTAAGATGCTGTCTAGGTTTGCCATTGCGTTCCTCCCAAGAAGCAGGCGTCTTTTAATTTCGTGGCTGCTGTCACCATCTGCCGTGATCATGGAACCCAAGAAAGTAACATCTGTCACAAATTGATAGTGGGCTAAATTACGCATCATTGAAATGCATAGCATGCAAGTGGGCCTCTCTGTTCTTTACTTACGGTTGAATGGATGAGATCCCATACTGGATCAGGACCACTACAAGTGGTTAGTAGGATTTGAAACTTTCTTCATACAGTCACTATTTTTTCCCTCTTTGTGAGGTATAGGGCTTTTTTTAAAAAAAGCCTCCTTGAAAAAAGGATAGATAGAATTTTAAAAAGTGGTAATGAGGGAGGCTTACCACTTCCCTACCGGGATATGTTGGTTCTGATCTGGCCTCTAGACTCTGTTTTATAAATAAAAAGAAAAGAGAAAGTGTACGTGTATCATGTGGTCTACTGAAGAAGTCTTCAAATCACAATTTATTTATTTACAAGATTTTTTTTAAGCTGCGCCATTCCCAATGGTTTCTGAGTGGCATACAACAATATTAAAACTATAGAAAACATTAAAACCATTAAAATAGGCTTATATCGTAATAATACTCTATATTAAAACAGTCAATTTATCATTAATAAATCCTACTGTTCATACGGCCAGCTAAAGGATAATTGAAGTAGTTCAAGAGCCTAAACAATGACTCATTGAGGAGAGATCAAAGTTGTGGGCTTATTTGAATTTCTACATAGTGGTATACTATGCTGTTCAAGTATTTGTGCCATCCCAAGTGAGAGGGTGTTTCCTCTGTATAGCACTACCACCTCTTCTTTACAGGGCACATACTGGTGGATATACTGGACAGGAATATGACAGAGTGTGCAACATGCTACTTTTCTAGTTCTTGTGCTTTTCATTTGTAGATGCTCGGCCTCTGTTTCACCAGATGTACATCTTTGCTTATCTTTGCTCTTTACTTGAACATGTGTCCTTTACTTCTCAGGAGTAGAAAATGGAAGCTCTTTGTTTGGTGATGTTAATGCAGGGGTCTCAAACTCAATTTACCTGGGGGCCGTTGGAGGCAGAGTCTGGGTGAGGCTGGGCCACATCAGATTTTCCGCCAAGAGGAGCAAGAGCCTGAGGAAGCCGCCCAGGAGTTTCCTTAGCCCAGCTGGGGCTCCGAGGAGGTGGAGGGGCGCGCGAGCCCTTGTCGCCGGCCATGACCCCCTCTGGCTCCTTCTTCACTACCACCACCACCACCAGCAGCAGGACGAAAAAGCGGATAAGGGAGGGAGCGCGGGCAACTGCAAGGGCACGACATATTTTTTTTTAAAACCCCACAGAATCGCCTTGCCAAAGGAGAAAAGCCCCCATCAGTACCCATGAAATTAATCACAATGGGGTGGGCCCCCCCACAGGTGCTCACGTGCCCCCCCACACACAGACAGACATGGAGGTCCGGCAACCTTCCTCTGAGGGCCCCCCTAAAAAAAAGGCAGCAGCAGCTACCCCCACCACGACAGAGGAGCAAACTGTGAGGTGAGCTCAGGCAGCCTCCAGATCCAAGGCGGCTGAAGTAGGATGAAGAGGAGGAGGAGGAAGCACTGCTGGATTCTGAGGCGGCCGCTGGCCGGGCTGGTGCTGGGGGTGCTGAGAGAGAAAGAGCCAGAGAGCCGCTTCCCTGGACGAGGCGGTGGTGGCGGCAGCTGCTGTTGGTGGTGCTGTTGGAGGCGCTCTTCAAGGACGGGCCGGGAGCGAGATCCAATCGCTTGGCAGCGGCTCAGGCGCTCAGGTAAAAGGGCTGGCAGTGCACCTCACTTGCCAGCTCTCTCCCAAGACAGTGCCTCTTGCATCCTCCATCCGGAACTGCAGCCTGGCAGCCGGCAGACAGGTGGTCTGGCTGGCAGGCTGCAGATCAGATGGAGGGTGCAAGAGGCGCTATCTTGGGAGAGAGCCGATGAGTGAGGTGAGGCTTTTTTTGACTCTTGACAGCAGAGGATGTGTGGGCGTTTCGGGGGGGCAGGCAAGGTGGGGACCACAAAGTATCATCTGGCGGGCCTCAAATGGCCCCCAGGTCGCATGTTTGAGACCCCTGTGTTAATGGGTGGAGGGAGCAAAAATAGAAAGTGGAATGGTTTTGATAGGGCATATTAGTCCAGTCTCACACTGTTCCAGAGTGCACATCACCCCTCTGGGGAGCAAAGAAGACCCCAGAGGGGAGGGGAAATTCAACAAAATCATTTCCTTCCATTTTTCATCAGCAGAATTCTTCTGGACCAACAAATGAAGAATTCATTCTGTCTTTGTGAAGCTGATTCTGGATCTAAGCCAATGGTACCCAGCTTCCTTTTGTACTAATTTATTCTGATGTTGATATGGGTAGTACTGAGATACATATTTAGTACATCAAATGATCTGTAACACAATTAATGCAAGATTAAAAATTAAGTTGATGTTAATAAACATGGCTGCCTAGCTTATGCATTCAGTACTGTACTTTATCTCCTCCCCTTTTTTGCAGATTGCATGTGGATCAGAGCACAACCTAGCAATAGTTGGTAAGTAACTTTTATCAAATACTCTTGTTTTGCTTTTAAAATGTTTTGAATACAGTATTTCCTTTTCCATTTTGAGCCAAGACAAGGATATATCAAATATGCCAGGCTTATATTTTATGTCACAGCCCAGTTGTCGAAGGTAGCGGAGGAAATTAATGTTGTGTGTCATCTAAATAATCTGAAATAGAAAATACAATTGTTGATGAAATGCTGACTTCAGTGTAGTTTAGGTAAAAAGTCTCTCCAATCAGCCATCCAAGATTTCTTTGAAAAGACCCTGTGGGTTCTGTTGCTGCCAGTGAACTCGACCAAGAATATCCATTGCTTGAAAAAAGTGCTTAGGAAACTGAAGTGCATTTTGATGGCTTTTTTGAAAAAATAAAATAAAACAAAAATAAAGCAAAGGTACTAAAACATGCAATCAGTTTCAATAGCTTTCTGTTTCATTTTTTTGCCATCTTCCTCCCATTAATGTTTCAGACATTAACAAATTATATACAAGGGGAATTCTGTTAACTGCATGAAATTCAGTTCTGAAAACTGCTGGTGCTAAGAGTGTACCGAGATATTTTCCGAGTGCGTTTCTCGTGCAGCCCGCAATGATGAAGACATCAACAGCTCCTTATCTGTTTTATAAAGCAGTAAGAAAATAAATAAGTTTCGTTTAGAAAGATTTCCGTCCTGCACTACAACGAATTTACCCATCTGGAATGGATTCACCTTGGGCATGCCTTGAGCCATCTTGAGCCTTCTCCTCTACTCTGAAGTACTGTCTTGTTTACTCAGGAACTTATGCTGAAATCTGTCTTAATATCACTTTACTGTATTCGGGGAATAAATGTTCAGGTTTTATTATTTATTATTTTATTGGAGGACATGTTGCTTTTGGACTGGTAGAATAACACAGAAAATGGCACATGTACAATTTTCGTAATTCCATTCTGGTTGGCACAAATAGACCTTCCATTGAAGCCCAAACTGGCTGTGATTGTGGTTCACGGTTGCATGGAAAGTTTAAGCATGTAGCCTTCAGCTGCTGATATCAGACCTGACTTGTTCATTTGGGGGGTGGGTGGGTTTGGAGCCTAGGGGGCATGCATTCTTGTGCTCCTTTTCTCCTTGTGAAACCCTTACATGCATCATGAGTGAAAAGGGCTGCATACTTGACTTGATTGAATTGTGACATGGGGGAGAGTTGCCTTAGGATATTCCAGGATCAATTTATAGATAGGTAGGACATTCTTTTGGTTTTCTATTTCCATAGGTTAGATACTGAGGGATATGCAGAATACACAGCCTTTTCAGAGCTTACAAAGCCACTTTTAAGAACCATACAGTTCGTTACAGTTGCAGGACCTCAAAAAGTCGTTAGTTGCAGTTATTGTTACAGTTTTTAAAAAGTAACACTTTTTGGTTTCTTTAAAGTAACAAAATTTTACTCTTTAAAAATCTGAATGCTACAAATCTGAAAAATGTATATGCATTTTCAGGTGTGTGTATGTCTAAATCATCATATACATGTGATTATGGATGCCATTTCTCTGTCCCCTTGAAAAAAGTCTTCTGGTAGATAATGCGACTTTCCAAAGCAGCTTTATGGAAAGCCATCACAGATCCTACATTGCAGATGTGAAGAGGACTTGATGAATCCCTCTTCCCACTCCTAACATGAGGAGGCATGGCTTCTCCTTGCACAATTGGCCCTTGAGATCCAAGACAGTTGTCAATTTGTTATCTGTTATTCCAACTGTTGTTGAGACAGTCATAACAGATTCAATATTAATACAACTAAACTTTATTCCTCTTCCTTCTTTGAAGGAAGATGAAAAGGAGTGTTGGTTCATTCCATACACAAGGGAAATTTCTCTTCAGTTAAATGTTAGAATTCCAGCTGTGTTGTGGTAAAATTCATTGGGTTCAGGGAGCACTCCTAACAGATTATGAAAAGCATATTTCCATGACAGAGTGAACACCAATCAGGAACCAACACTGGCAGACAGATCTCTCCATTATGCTGAAAATGTTATTTCGATGTTCAGGTCAACTTTGTAAAGCAAGAGCTGTGATTGTGTGTCTGACATGTGATCCCTGGAGACTCGATGGACTGTCACTAAGAGATAATCATAAATTTCCTGCTTCTTTTACATACTGCTCTAATAGTTGGGGAAATCTTTGAGTGCAGCATAGAGCATTAGTGTACAGCAAGAAAGCTCAGCATGTCGTTATATTACCTTTATCTATTATACATGACAAATTCTGTTTCATAGATCTGCATTGCAAGAGCTTCCTGAAAGACCAGCATGGAGGCATGTTAACAGCCCTCTCTCTTTTCTCATGGCAGTCCTAATCACATTCATGGGTTGTTAAAGGGCACTTAGCAGGGATACTTCCTAACAGCCACATACTATTTGTTCATTTCTGCTTTTCTATGAGTTGACCATTGGAATTTGTCTCTAATTGCTGGTTCATCTGTTTATTATTTCCCTGTTGATGACAGTTTTGAACAGGCGATATGTAACCATTCAGCATCTTTGATGCAGACAACTTTCTGCAGTTATATAATGTTAACCAGAGTGCATGCCACTTTCTTGAGCACATGCAAATCAAAACTGAGCAAAGCATAAGAGTAAATGGGTAGGAAATCTAAATATAGAGTCAGTAATAAAACATAACTAGCAAAAACTGTCAGCAGAATACTGGAGATGTTGGACTGGATGGATTACAGCACAATTTAAACCAATGGGGCAAACATGTAATTATGAATTGCACATTTTAACTTTAATGAAAAATAGGAAAGATGTATGTATGTGTGTATATCCAATATAGAGAGGTACTAAGACTATTTGGAACTTGATTCATTGTTCTGAACTTCATTGAAATCTGTGGATAGAACCCACTTTAGCTATCCCCCTTTGTAATTTCTTTCCCCCCACAACAGTTATCTTGAGATCTACTGAAGAGTGTCCTGGGAGGCCAAAGGTTTCTGAAACTGGGTTTCTGATGTCAGATTTGGATCCGTCTATCTTTTTGTGCATAGATTGTTCTGTTTGCCTCGCGGAGAATGCAAAGGGACACTACTGGCAAAGGGAAGGTTAGATCACATGAGCAGACAAGCAAGTGAATGAATCCCAGATATTGTAGGTTATATTGCTGGAGGCCATAATGGTGGTTTATTTCTATTCTGTGTCTGCTCTTTTTCTTGTACTTCTTGTTCTTCTTGTTCTCCTCCTCCTCCTCAGTACTGAATGTATACACTTACAAAAAGCTTATTATTTGTGAAATGCCCATTTATAAGAAGCCAGATTTTAAATAGGAAGCTAACAGACAGCTGCTGGTTGAGCAATAAAATTAAGCACATGTTTCAGCTCTTCTAAATGGCTCTCACAGCCATTTGTGCATGCGTGGTTACCACCATTAGCACAAATGTATGTTTCAGTGGATCATACAATAAGCCTGGGAACATATCTTTATCACAATTTAATCTGAAGTTCTAGATAATTGAAATCATGGTTACCACCATTATACATACAATAAACCTGGGAACATATCTTTATCACAGTTTAATCTGAAGTTCTAGATAATTGAAATCTGAGAAGTGCATTCAGTGATTTTATCATGAGGCTTGGAACATGTTGATTTGTCCCCATCCCATGGTAGTGGGAGTATGTTATAAGCTATATGATCATGAGAAGAGAAAATTGGACAGCCATCTATCAGATCTGCTTTGACTTGGATTCCTCCATTGAGCAGGGGTTTGCTCTTAGTGACTTTATAAGCCCCTTCCGATTCTATGATTCTATGATTTTTCCAACTCCTGACAGACAAGGATATTTCTCTTGCTCATATGAGAGTGAGGGGCAGATGTATGTCCTGTGACTTTTGTCTATAGCATGGTTACTCTAGTTGCAGAGTACAGTGATACCTCGACTTAAGAACTTAATCCGTATTGGGAGTGCCTTCTTAAGTCGAAACATTCTTAAATCGAAGCACCATTTCCCATAGGAATGCACTGAAAACCATTTAATCCGTATCTGCTGTTTTTCATTCTTAAGTCAAGGCACTGTTCTTATGTTGAAGCATTAGTTCCCTTAGGAGCCAATGTAAAGCCGGTTAATCAGTACACTACCACTAGGGGGCAATTTTTTAATTTTTTCTTCTTTTCACCTAAGGTGAACTTAGGTAAAAAAAAAAGGGCAGGAAAATTTTTCCCTTTTTTGGTTCTTAAGTCGAGGCTCCATTCTCAAGTCAAAGCAACTTTTTGCGAACGGAACCGCTCTTAACTCGAATTGTTCTTATGTAGGGACATTCTGAAGTGGAGGTACCACTGTATTGGTCTTCTCCACTGAGTGAGGAGGCCCCCTTCAGCAATGGGACAGGGGATTGCTCTAAATCGGGGGCAGGCATACACATGCAAGGAAAATCATTGCCTATGGGCAGTCCTAAGTGGTTTTTTTTTGTTAGTGTGGTCAGAATATGACAACTGGGTAGTATTATAGGATTATGTGATCACTGAGACATGATTATGTGAATTGAAAGCAAGACGTTAGTATTCACATAGTGTTTTGTACTAAGAGTTTTCTGCTTTGTTATCATTTACCATTTTTGCAATCAGCATTTGAAATGCTTTACACTGTTTACAGTATCTTCTGATAACATGTCAGCTATGGTTGGGATTCTTTTTGAGTGTGAGGTAGTCCTGCCTTTCTTCCAGGGAACTCAAGGCCACACACACAGTCCTCTTGGCACATTTTATTCTCACAACCACCCTGGGAGATAGTCTTATAATTCTGCAAGGCTTTGAAACTGGTCCTCCCAAATTCAGTATGTCACATGTGTTATCCTATTAAGAACATAGCAAGCAATATCAATCAACATGAAAAGGAGCACCTTTTCCATAGTCTGTTTTTCTAGGCTTTGCCAGTAGCTTTCACAGACCAGTTAAACATATACATTATTCTGAGTGGAAAAAATTACAATAAATTATAGTAAATAAAATGACA